CAAGAAATAGGCAAGACAGGTAGCTAGGGCACAGTGGAGTAGTGCAGCCAAATAATATGATTATTTTAGCCATGGCTAATCTTCTCCAGCCACAAACCTTCAACTTCCACCTGTCTGCTGAGATCCATCTGGGGTTTCTCTCTGCGCTCCTGACCTTTGTTTTCCACTTACTCTCAGCTCTTGAGCTCTTTTGGCCCCGCATCTCATCTGGTATGTCCTGCTGCTTGATAACTCCTCCTTGTTCCTTCTTCACCTTTCATTCTCATTTTCCCGCTGCTGGCAATTGCACCATCCTTCCTGTCAAGCAGGCTGGTTATTTTGGTGCCAGCTTAAAACCAAGGAATCTCCATCCATTGCTTCCCCCAGGTTGGTGCTGGTGAACTGTCAGTTTTTTCTCTCCAAAATCTCGCCGCTGCTGCTGCCATGAATCTGGTTCTCCCTCACCTCTCATTACTGTCCTTTCTCTTCTAGCTTGCTTGACAGTTGCTGCTAGAGGTCTGCAGAAGGTCTGTTAATGGCTCCTGGTGAAATCAGTAAGAGTTAGGCACTGTCTTTTAACAAATCTGACCCTTTGTCTTTTTACATGTCTGTACAGAGCCTATTTCACAGTGGCCACTGTAGAAATAATTAAACACAGAATAAATGTGATGATCATTACTAAACCTAAACTGAGAATTGTGTTTTATCTTGGCAAGGAAGTCCTCTCTTGAGTCAGACTCTGAGTAGTCAGGATGTATCTCCATCTTTGTGCATTTTTATAGCTAAATTCTTGCCTGGTGTATTGGGTACAGCAACAGTGACTCTAGATGAGTTTTAGCCATTCCTCCCCAACAGCAAGTTTGGTTTTTAGTACGTTTTTTGTGATCCTGCACACACTATGCATCATTTTGATGGCATTTGTCTTCATAACACTCAGCACACTAATGGCATTATAAAAATAATTAATTGTGGTAATCTGCTGAGTTTGACCAAATGGTTTGGAAAAATCTGTCTCTAATTTGTAGTATACGTTTCCTTTATATTCATCTTCCACATTCATTTTCAGAGTGGATATAACTATGGAAATACTTAGTATCTCATTAATGCTTGTAGCATGATGAGGAAGAAGCTATCTTATGATTTTGCTGCCTCAAGTGAGAGACCTTTGATCTACTTGATTGCATTTAGAAAGCCATGTTCAGGATGTTGCATGGTAGGCTGATAATGAGGATTCTACTTGTAGTAATCAGCAGGGTTGTGTGTTAATATCTTGCAGGACATTTCCTGTGTTCTAGCCAAGAAGCGCTTTGAGAAGGGGTTCAGCATCAAATACAGATTTATAGAGACAGAGTCCTAATTTTGCCTTTAGTTGCTGTGTGATTTAAAATCTATATTGTATTAAGGGGAGAAAAATTACATTTTTGAGGCCAGACATTGGAAGAATGACACAGCTACAGATGCCCATGACCTTTCATTAAAGACTGATTCTGCAGGGTTCCAACTGCATTTAGCAGACCGCCATCCACGCCTCTCAATTTAATATGAGGTGACAACTGGTAGACTGAATAGATCCATCACTTGCATTTCCCCTCCTTTATCATTTTATATTAAAGGAGCTGGTTGAGAACTGAAGACTAAAGTCCTTTCTTCAGCAACACAGCAGTCATAACCAGGGATCTGGGTTTTCCGTTTCCCATGGAAAAATGGAGAAAAACGCGGATTTCCCCCTTTACCCGAGGAAAATGTGGATTTCTCTCTTTAACGGAGAAACTTGTGGACTTTGCAGTTTTGCAAAGAGCTCTCTGCAGGCTGGCAGAGTTCCAGCCTGGGAGGGAGCAGGAGGAGGGCAGTCAGGCAGTGGGTGCCATGTGCATGTAATACATGGTCACAGGGCCCCAGTGGGGAGTAGGATGGGGCTGTGGGTAGCTTGTCCAGGGGGTAGGAAGGGCAGAGCTGGCTCCCCACTGCTGCGCGCACTCCTGGAGGGCAGGAGGGGGACCCATGCCCCCAGACCTGTGCATGTGTTTGGGGTGAGGGCAGGCTGCCTACTGCAGGCTTGGACTCCCTGCCCGGCTGCCCTCCCCCAGGGCCTCCGTAGCCCAGCAGGTGTGACCTGGCGCTGCAGGGCACAGAGCTTGCCTCTGTGAGCTCTGTGCTGCCCTGACAAGGCATCCCTTGTGCTGTGGCAGCAGTGGGGGTGGCCACGCGGGGTTATGGCCATCACTGGTACCATGCAGGCAGGTGACGCATTGCCAGGGCAGCGTCGAGCTTGCAGCGGCAAGCAGCCTTCCCACATGGCCCCGCTGGGCTGTGGAGGCCCCAGGAGCAGGCAGCAAGGCAGGAGCCTGAGCCCGCAGCAGGCAGCCTACGCCCACCCCACTCACATCTGGGGGGCGCAGGTCTCCTTCCTCCCCTCCTGAGAGTGTGTGCACAGCAGTGGGGAGCCAGCCCCACCCCACTCAATCCTGCAGTAGGCAGACAGCAGGGTGGGGGAGCTGGGCTCTGCTCCACTGCAGCATCTACTCCAGGAGCAGGGGGCTGTGGACCTGGGTCCCTGGCCCCATAGCCCTGGCAGCTGGGGGCCCCCTCCAGTGGGGCTGGGAGGGCAGGGGGCTGTGGGTGGGGGATGAAGGGCACGAGCAGGGCCAGGGGACTGTGGGGGGAGTGAGGGGCCTTTCATTTTAATCCCGAATTTCAGGATTTTTATCAGAGAATTTGTCATTTTTATCAGGGAAAACCAGGATCCCTGGTCATAACCGAGTCAAGAGGAGTTAACTCTTTCTCTTATCCCCACAATGAGCTACCACCAGACTTTTCTGCATCAGGTGCCAGATGTGAGTGTAGTCTGATTTCCTAGTGCTGGTTCCTCAGTTATATTTACCTTGCCAACAGAAACTAAAATGCAACCAGCAACTCATTCACAAAGGCCACAGAACAGCCCCCCACGAGTAAATGGTTTTATGTCACTACCTGCATGGCCTGGATATAGAAGGCTCCAACCCCATCTTGACTTACTACCCTGTGTCCAACAGAATGGACTGTCCTGTTTTCTTAGCACATGTGTGATCACTTTTAAAAATAAAAAAGGAATAAAGGCTCAAAACATTTGAGAAAGTAAAACACAGCAAGTTGGCCATTGTTTAATCCTGTGGGAAATCATTAGGCTCTGCATTAGTATAAAAATGATAGGAATAGATTTTGTCTTTTTAACCTCACTAATGACCATAATGAGTCCCCATGTGCACTGTATGGGCACAGCATTCCTGTACTGGTGCTTCACATCACTGTGCCATCTTCATTTACTTTCACAGACCAACAGCATAATCATTCTTTGTTTTTCCTAAAGGATGTGAAGACTAAATATGAATTTGTTAATAGATTCACTGTTGGCCTCTGAGTATTACAGTGCAAATGTTTTAATAAGAATGACAGGAAGGATGTGTCTCCCTGAATGAGGATATTGTGTTGCATATAATTCAAGACCAAGACCTTGCAAGAGAAAGCTCAGCTCCTAGGAGCTTACCAAGCTCTCTGGATACTTTAGGAAAACAGCAATGTTTGTGACTCTTTCATGCAATCCTTAACATAGGTAAACTGGACTGTAGAGGGTGAAAATAGACTCTGCCAACATCAGGTTTGGACATCTGTTTATCTTAAGGCTGCCTTCACAATTTTCCACATAGCTGAAGATGGGTACTCAATTCCCATTTGAAAATGTTGCCAAGAAACCAATAACCAAATGCCAACTGTTTCTTTCTTGCCAGATACCATGGTATGCTGGAATATTATCTCGTTTGGACTGTTCCATTTGCAGGGAAGGATGAGAACCTCTTTGACTTTGCCTATGTATGCACAAAAAATATACCAGTACAAAGAGAATCGTTTCTTAAACTGATTTAATTGAACCTCCTTGGACACATTTGCCTCAGTTGACATCTGGCTCGCAGGGCGTGTCCAGACAAGCGCACACATGCACTTAGCCGCACTGCAAAATGCAGGCAGCACATGTGACAAGGTTCTCCATGCTACATATTTGCAGCACGGAGCCAAAATTAGATACTGGAAAATCCTGGTGGTTTTTTTTTTGTTTTTTTTTTTTTTTGGTTTTTTTTTTTTTTTTTTTTTTTTTTTTTTTTTTTTTTTTTTTTTTGTTTTGTTTTTTTTGTTTTTTTGTTTTTTTAAGATAAGTTAAAAAAAAAAAAGGGTGGGGCAGCACAAGTGGCTGCAGTGTGTGCTGCCTGAAACAGGAGCCTGGCTGCTCAGAGCTACATTGGCTGCTGGCCAGGCTCTGTGCACCTGGATCACCACCACTGTAGCCTCAGGAGGCCCTCACAACCCCAGGTAAGGCTGCTGGGGCCAGCCCAGTGCTGGCCACAGCCTCCCCTACCCAACCCAGAGCAATTTGCAATGCGCCAGAGTGCATGAGACAGAGTCTCTGTCCCCAGAGACAAGTAGCAGCAGCACAACTATGTGCCATTACTATTTGTCCCTGGGAAAACTCACATGCATGCTTGTCTGGATGCACCCATATTGTAATAAGCTATGTTGTGTTTAATGAAATGAGTTTTAAAACTGATTATTTTAAATTAAGCTCCTTTTGTGTGCAGGTGAGGCCTCTTATCTTTCCAAGGATTCAGTTTGTGGAATGATAGTAATTTTTATCTTTCTAGGCATTTTCCTCCTCTCATTTAAAGCGCTCAGTTAAAGACACTACGGCCAGGTACAGACATTACACTTTTACCATTATAAGTGATCAGAAACTGCCCTATACCTGTAACAGAACAGAAGATTGGCACACAAAGTAGTCTATACCCGTAACACAACAGAAGTTTGGTGGATAGACTGGTTTAAAAATGGCAGAACCCGGTCAAACATTTGCCCCCCGCCTTCCTCCCCACCAATGTTCACTACCTATCTTAAAGAAAACCACATAACTTAGATTGATTCCATCTCGGGCTTTTTGAATGTCTGTACCTAGCCTTAAAGTATGTGTTTGTTTTTTTTCCCTATCTTTTCCACAGGGCCCAACTCGTATCACTCCCGATCTTGCTTCCTCTCCTTCAGCAGGATATGTCCCTGTGGGTCAGAAACCTGAGGCTGTTGTGCATGCTATGAAGGTAGGTATGCGTCCAAGCCACACACTAGGTGCACATACATAGTTGCACCATTAAGAATTTTCTTTAGTCTTAGAATCAGAGCAATTAGAGAGGTTTAAACGCTGGTCAGCCAGATTAATGCTGACTGACAGCTGTGTCACCTCAAGTAGCCGTCTATTTAGAATTTATGAGCATGGCCAGTTACTGGAGTGAAGTGCAGGGGGAGGGGGCCTTTCAAGGGAAGTTCATGGTGCTGCAGGTACGTGTTACTGTTTGACCTAATGTGTCCTGGTGAATCTGCATTTCAAGGTATTGGATTAAGCAGTAGTGAAAGTGCCACATAAGAGTGACAGTGCTTTGCAGTTTTCCAAAGACAAAGAATATAGAATTGTTTACGTACCTAAAAACCAGGGCTACATACACACCTGGACACTTGAGTCATCAGTGGGGATTGAAACCAGAACCCTTCAGCAGAAAAAGTCCCAGAATCTCCACCCTTTTGAGGAAAGGACAGCTATAAAGTCACTGAGGCCAGCCATTAGATGGAGAAATACTTGCACATATTAGATAGACCATATAAAATCATGACTATTTATGTCCCTTTGTATGCTGAACCATGGCTGCATTAGAATTGGTTGGGAATTTGCCAGTGAATCAGTGTAATTGGAAAATATTGATTTGTTGAGCACAAAATGCTTGGTAGGAGACATCAGAGGTTAGACATGCTTTCAGGAAAGGCAAGGCAGGTTTCCCATGGAATTTTCCTATGGCTCCTGGTAGACTGCCCCAGGGGCCAGAGATCCTGCACTTCCAAGTTGCCTTAAGAGCTGGAGACTTGGTGCTTTCAGCATCCACAGTCCCACAATACACCTGCCATGTAGACTGTACCAGGGCAATAAAACCAGACTCAGCAGGGCCAGGAACCAGTGGCCCATAGTAGCTAAGGCACTTTGCTTTGTGTGTTTCTTCATCTCGGTTCTGAATGACATCAATAATTTTCATGGTTTTGAAGCAGGGCAAGTTCTTCTGAAGTATTTTCAGCGTGCTTGTTTGTGTTGGCTCAGAGTTTCCAGCTCTAGGACAGACCCATCAGGTGGCAACAGTAAGACTGACAAGAATGTCAAGAATCCCAGCAGTGAAGCTGATGAAAATGTCAGTGTAGCAGAGCTGCTGCAAGATTCAGGCAGCATATCTGAGTTCAGAAACACTGCGTGTCAGTATCTGAAACAAAAATTGGAATTTCTGGTTTGTGGGAAATGTTGAATTGAGGTTTGGTTTCAGCCTGGTTTGGATCCAACCCAAATGTTAAATTCTTGCAAACTAGAAATCCTACTAATCTGAGAACACCACCCAGATCACATCATTCTCTGTGGGCGAGGCCAGAGCAGCCAGCACCAAACCTCCCCAGGCCTTTAATGTTTGAGCCTGCTGTATAATTACTGGTATGACCTTCCAGATTGCACACTACAGTTCCATTCTGCCCATGTAGGTTTCTCCTGTGGTTTCTGGCTGAGATTATTTTTTTTCTTGTCTTTAATTGCTTTTGTGATGTCAAACAGTTGTTATGCTCCATCCTAAACTATGGCTGCATTTCAGGTATGGGTGAATTCATTTGTGTGTGTGTGTGTGTGTGTGTGTGTGTGTGTGTGTGTGTGTACACACTTGTAGGAACAAAGTACACACCCACTGTAGGCTAGATTCCCAGGTGGCCATTGCTTGTCTGTCAGTGCTGTGTAATCACTGATATCCCCTATTGTCGCCTGTGTGAAGGTGCATGAATATACATATTACAAGATTTATTCCAGGCCAGATCCTCATCTGATGTAATTCAGTGCACCTTCATTGAAATGGAATGTGCGTGGATGTGTATGTGGGGGAGGGGTATGTTTCAATTCCCTACTGTATGTATGTTGCAAAACCATATGACAGATTTAATATATTATGTCCCCTTTGACCTTCTTACTTGCTAACTATGCACTAATCCAGTTCCCCTAGCACTTTAATACTCCAAACCACTGAGCAATCTCAGATAGCTGTTTTAAAAATCAGTCTGCTGCATTCATGTTTCTTCCTTGTTCCCATAAATGTAGACTGTTCCCCACCTGTAACCCAAAACCAAACAAAACCCCCAATTATTTCAGGATTGCATCTACCTAGCGCCCAAACTGAGCAAGGTTCTAAAGTCATAACGTGTTTATCCATAGAAAGATGGCTACATGGCCAAGATGATGGACCAGTCTTTAGTTATTTAGGAAGGGGAGCAGCTTGTCAGTAGAACCCCAGGAGATTTGGACTTTGAATTTCTGACATCTTATTTAGGGGTCATTTGGGGGGTTTTTATGCCTCTCCATAAGCATCCTGCAGTTGGGCTCATGGCAACAAAGGTGTTTCATCTCATGTCTGTGCACATCTAAACATTTGATAACCTGGAGGTTGTTCATGGCTTTGATTGGATGCAAGTTCTTTTTTAAATTTTCTGACGTATTTTCATTTTGCTTGATTGTGCCTTATACTTGAGGAGCAAAAAATGCTTGATGCTCTCAACAGTTGTTTCTGCTAACAAGAATAAAACACACACATGCTAAGTCTTAACATCTCTCATCTAGGCTGTTTTCTTTGGAGTAGACTAAACCTGCTAAAGACATTAATTACATAGCAGAGCAGATTCCTGAAGCTTCCTAGGATTTGCTGTTTGGACATCAAGAGCCTCTCCTACTCTTGAGCTAGGCTTTACAAGCCTCAGTGTAGATCATAGAATTAGCTGGAAGAGGAGATATTAAGTGTAGGCTGCAGGTAAGAGCTCCTAAATAATACCATTATAGCCACACTGACCTAGGAAACTTTGGCTGTCTGGATCAGAGACTGCTCCATAGTAGAAGATATCACTGGTTGTTTGGAGTGTGTAATAACTGTCAGTGGTTGGAAAAAACTACAGTAGGATCATGGAAAGATAGGGTTTAGAAGATGGCTCTTCAGAAAGTCAGTTAATCCAGCCACCTGCTGAAGGAAGGATTATTCCTGACTAAGCCATCCCAGGCAAATGTCTGTCTAATCTGCTCTTCAGAACTTGCACGGATGGGGATTGCATGAATTCCCTAGGTTGCCTGTTTCAATGCTTGATCACCCTCAGAATCAGAAAGTTCCTCCTAATCTCTAATATAAATTTCTTCTGCTGAAGCTTGAAGCCATTGCACCTCATCTTGTCTCCTATGGTCAAGGAGAAAAAGCCCATCTCCTTGACCATAGGACAAGATGAGGTGCATAGGACTGTTATAGACATAGGACTGTTCCACCTATAACATCTGAATGTTATAGGTAGAACAGCAGTCTTGTGGAACCAGTGAACTAAGTAAAAAAGGAGGGAGACATTATTACATCAAAAGCCCTGACAGGGATTGGTGTGTGTGTGTGTGTAAAATATATGTATACAAATGTATAAACATATTACAAATTATTACATATTACAAATATATAATATATTACAAAATATTACATATTACAAATGTTCTGTCTAGAACATATCTTTCTGCTCCCTCCTATATCTCCTCCATTCATAGAATCATAGGCAAATAGGATTGGAAGGGACCTCAGGAAGTCATCTAGTCCACCTGCCTCGCTCAAGGCAGGATCATCCGTGTCTGAACTATTCCAGACTAATGTTTGTCTGGTCAGGACTTGTCCTGATAATCAAAACTTTCAGATAGATTCCACAACCTCTCCAGGCAATGTATTCCAGTGCTTAACCTACCCCTGATTGCCCTTATACGGGAGACCCTTTTTCCAGCATGCCATTCTAGGAATGGCACTCTAAATACAGCAGAACCCAACAGCTGCTGCCCTACAATAGCAGTCTGGTTACTGCTTGTTTCAGTTCAGTAAGACCTCTGATCTTCTGTCAGTTTTATCATCCAAATTTCCCTTTCCCATCCAAGACATGGGTTTGGAAGCTTGCTCAAATCCTATACTGCTCTTGAATTTATTGTGCTTATTTTATTTCAGGTTAGTTAATAAAGGCTTGTCCTTCTTCCAAGGTGCTTTTATTAAATTGGAAAATGTCACATTCTCATGCATACATTTACACTAATGTGATAAACAAATTGCTTCTCCCACTACAACAAACAGACCTTCCAGCACCATAGGAAAACCTCTCAATATGTTAAACAACCTACTTTGTAAATGTGTGGGGGAGAGGATGAGTTCTGCAGCGTGTCTGGAAGGTTAACAAATATGGTGGGACCAAATTCAACAGTTAATAGGACCCAACTGTATCAGTGATTTGGATAGGGGAGTGAAAAGCTTGCTGGCCAAGTTCGTGAACGACACCAAGTTATGGGGCAGTGTGGTCACGCCAGAAGATAGGTTGTAGATACAGGTGGACTGGGACAGGCTCGAGAGTTGGGAAGAGTGGAACCAGATGAAGTTTAACACTTCCAAGTGTAAGGTGCTTCATCTGAGGAAAAATAACCCTCAACATGCATACAGGCTCGGTGGTGATGGCTTGACTTGCACCATGGCCAAAAGGGACCAAGGGGTAATGATTAACCATCGCATGAATATGAGCCATCAGTGCGAGGCGGTGGTCAGCAGGGCAAACAACACGCTGGCATGCATCAACTGATGCATCTCATGTAAAACTAAGGAAGTGATACTCCTGCTGTACTCAGCTCTGGTGAAACTGCAGTTGGAGTACTGCATCCAGTTCTGGGTGCCGCACTTCAATAAGGACATGGAAAAACTTGAGAGGGTCCAGAAAAAAGCCACCCGTATGATCAGAGACTTGCAAGGCAAGCCATACGAGGAAAGGCTGATGGACCTGGGCCTCTTTATCCTAAAGAAGGGAAGGTTGAGAGGGGACTTGATAGCAGCTTACCACTATATCAGAGGACTGCATCAGGAGCTCGGTGAACAACTGTTCACCAGGGCACCCCTGGGGAAGATCAGGACTAATGGATACAAACTCCTGGAAGGCCGCTTCAGGCATAATACCAGGAAAAGTCAGGGTGTCCAGACCGTGGAATAAACTCCCTCCAGAGGCAGTGCAGTCACCTACCCTGGAGGTTTTCAAGAGGAGACTGGACAGTCACCTTGCTGGGGTCACCTAACCCCAGTTGTCTTCCTGCCTACAGTGGGGGTCTGAACCCGATGATCTGTGAAGTCCCTTCCAGCCCCTAACAATCTGTGAATCTATGAAACTGGCTACTCCTTCCCCTGTTAATGATAAGGCAGCTCCACCCTGATTACTGTGTGGGTCACAAATGTGACAGTATTACAGAGGGTCAAGGGGAGAGATGGTCTCTTGAAGAAATGAGTCCCAGAGTCATTTGGGACCTTAAATGTCTGATAGTACTACCCCATTAAAAGACACCTGCATTTAAAGCAAAGAAATAAGGTCTAGAGCCCCTCCAGAGCTTTTGAGCTTAGACGCATGGTTTTATTTTAAATTGGAATAGTAAAAAATATTGTTAATTTTGTTTTCCTTTGAGACTCTTGTGCCTGCAAAATTGATGACTGACAGAAGCAGCGAAGACTAGGTTCTATGTGAACTATAATTAATCCAACCCAGCATTGCCCCTGGACACTTACCCTGTAGATGCAGCCGGCATTCAGCTTACAGCAAGCCATTTCTGGTGCTCTGCTTTGGGATTGGATAATACAGGCTGTTGCTTTCACAGCTGAGCAGTGGAGGTGTATGGATTCTACACAAGCTTGCTCAAAGTGCAAGTCCAGCTGGATCAATAATTAATTAATTATTTCCCTTTTAAGACAAAAATAGACATTTTCTCTGTCAGCACATAAGTGTCTTTCACATGCTCCCTGACTAAAGATGTGGATAATTTAGGTTAAGTTGAGGTTTGAGCTCAAATTCCATTGGTTCCAGATATGCTGGTTAAATTATTGGTTGGTACATTTTTAAAAGTAGGTTAAGAGCCCTAGGAGAATGACCTATTTTTGTAACTGAAACATTTAGCATACAGCAGGATTGCTGCACTGGAGCAGACCCATGACTAATCTAGTTAGTATCCCCTTGCTGACAGCAGTTAATGCTGAATACTTCACTCGAGTGAAATCCATCCTGTAATGCATCTAGTTATGCAGTTCATTCGTATGCTAACACGTCTGCATGTACAACTCTACCTATAGTCATGTGTGTGCGTTTACATAATGGTCCATGTGGTGAGGTTTGAAGATCTCATTCCCATGAGACTGAGGTGGCCACTGAGATTCGTGGGTGGTGAAGCCATGAGTGATGGAGTGAATCCCAAACACATCAGCAAAATCTCATTTCAGCCCCACCCCAGGTTGTGTGACATGCTGTATATTTAACAAGAGAAGCTATTTAAATGTGTTTAGAAGGCTTTTAAAATGTCTGTGGGTGTGTCTTTTTCCATCTAAAAAGGCAGGCTGCCCTAACACTATTAGCCCACCCATCTGGGTCCCAAGAGGAGAGAGAGAAGAAAAAAACCCAAACCTATGCATTAACTAAAGATCAGTTTATGTTGTAAGATGACCTGATTTGACAACAGCTGTCAGCCTTTAATCCAGTCATTTAAGAAAGTCAGTCAGAAGTAAGCTTGGCTACTGTGCTTGTCTCCACAGGAATGAGCCTATTTTTGTGCTATTATATTCCCATACTCCTATGTTTAAAATGTTTTTTTTCCCCCTTGTTGCTCTGCTAAAAGCCCAAGAAGGTGACTGACTTGGACCCCACCCCAGCAAACATTTACACACATAAATAACTTGGTGCGTATGAGAAGTCCCATTGAGACTCACGGACTAATTTACCATTACAACAATTAACCTAACCATAGGAAAAGCCGGACCCTATCTGAGGAGCTTCTGCCCTAGGGCTTGGTCTTCTCAATAGTTTTTATACACAGTAGACTAATTTCATTAGGGTACAGTTAAACTGGTACAACTCCAAATGCTGATGTAGTTATGCACTGGTACAACACAGCCGTATTTTGGGGTTTCTCTAAATTTACCAGAACATATGGTATGGGAATAAGCTTCTTTCTCTGCTGGAATGGCATCTGAGATAAAGGGCTGTACCATTCAGCCTAGTTTCAAGCCAATATAGTTGTTAAAATAGACAGAAACTGTCTGAATCCACTTCAAGCTTAACTTCTGATAGTATGAAGGAAGAGTGCTGTGCTTAGGTAGAGCTGAATGGAAGTGAGTGCATCTCCAGCAGCAGTAGCTTACAGGTTTGGGGGTTAAACACAGGGTTGGAAGATTATTCCTGTTTCAGAGGTTATGTGGTATAGCTGGGAATTGAGTCAGTGTCTCCCAACACAGTGACAACCATCTTTTCATCCCAGGGGGGGTCTGTATCAGCCCCGTGAAGGGTGGTCACAGTGAAAGGCGCTGTACCCACTCTGCACATTAGAGCCTCATCGGGTAGTGAAGTGTTGGGCACATGCCAGTAAACTCTTTAGAGGGGCAGAATATAGGGGTGGGCACACACCCAGGCCATACTAAGTTGTCTATGTTGCTCTTGTTTGGGGAGGTAGAGTACACGGAGCAGGCCCAGTGTGTCTCTCTGGGCTGGTACACACATACCTTTATGGTCAGTAATTGCAGGTAGTTTTAGAGATTTCATTTAGGAAACTGCTAATTTTTTCAGATAAAGGGGATTAATTTGGTTGTGCGCGCTAAGATCTTAGAACTGACAGCTGAAATTGCAAACTAATGCTTTACAGAGGGGAACTTTCAGCTTTCCAGTGGCAATTAAAGATCTTTTTTCCCCACCCCCTTCCTAATGGTTAATGAGATATTGAACTTTAAACCCATTGCTAACTCAAAATGAAACATTGCTTGCCTTGCTCCTCTGACCAGTATCATTTGAATAGAAGAGCTACTTTTCTGAGAGAGAGGACAAAGGAAAAATACATTTTTGTGGTAGGTTTTTTTGATGATGATGACTGGTCAGAAGTTAGATGTATTCCCAGTGGCAATGAAACAGTGGGCAGAGTGCAGGTGAAAAACACTGGACAAAACAAGTGATCCAAAGGTTCCTCAATTTACCACTTGGAGCATAGTGTGTGTGGTTTGAAGAGTGACAGGATTCCCTGGCAGGCAGGCCAGGGATGGAGATTCCTCTCCCCTCCATTAGGTAATAGTCTATAAGCACTGAAGTATGGGGAGTAACAGGCGCTATGAGTGTAAATCCTGATAGTGAAATTCCAAGAGACTTGATTTGATCTTTGAGAAGTATAATACTTTTGCAATATGTTTGTCTATAGGTCCTTGAAGTCCATGAAAATTTGGACAGGCAAATGCAAGATAACTATGAAGAAGACCTGAGTGAAAAGGAGAAAGCAATTGTTCGTGAAATGTGCAATGTAATACCTCTCTCCATATTTGTAGCATTTTCTGTAGCACTGTTTTAGTTCCACTGTTTTGTAATCCATACCTTGTAGCCTCTGTTCTGTACGCGAGTCCTGTTCACGTGTTTTGTTTGAAACCCACAGAAAAATTCAGTCATAAGAGCAATAAATAGAGGCTCTGCTAACGTCCTCTGTGGGCAGGAGCCATATATCAAATACTAACACTTGATTTGATGCACTTGGCAACTTTTGTCTAGAAGAAACATACGGTGAGCAATCTTAAGAGATGCAGACACCACCAACCTCTCAACCTGTGTGCGGGAGTTGCTTGTCCCATTGTTCACCTGTCTAGAAGATTTAGTTCTCAGCCTTCTGCACTGACTCCGATTTGCAAGGAGAACTCTTGCTGTCCCTGGCCTGAGATCAGGACTTGCTCCTTGTGCTCAAAAATAACCTACAATGTTGTAAAAACTTAGTCATTCAAACAGAATGATGCTGAATCCTGAACCACTCTGGTGTTAGAATTAGAAGCCTCTTATTTGAAACTCTTTGACACATAATTACATATGATTTTATTTTGTTGGCACCATTAGTGTGTTTGGCTTAGCAGCCTCATTGTAAACTGAGGTTGCCACATAATGTAAACTGAGCACTTGATGCCAGAACATTGCTGTGTCTGAGGTGCATTTACTTGCTGCTGCTGCTCTATTACCTTGAACTCCAGACATAATTATTTAATAAGAAAAATGACTTGGGTGTACACAGCTGATAAACAGTGAGCTCTGAACTGCTGCTAAAATATTGCCCAAACTGAGTTGCATGCTTTTGAGAGTGTTTTTGCTCCACAATAGCAGACTTCCCAGAGCAAGGGTGAGGACTCTTGGATCCTTCTCTTTGAAATCTATATTGCAGGTCAGAGCGTTATTAGGACTTCTGGGTGCATCCATATTTCAGAGAGGAGGCAAATTTTTCCTTAAATTTCTCTCAGTTGCTGTGGGGTGTTTTAAAGCCCTGAAATGGAAGAACAATGCTGGAAAGCTCAACGTCTTATTTTCATGACAGCATCCTTACAAGTATGCCATTAGGCAGTTAGCACAGAAACTGCTTGCTCGCTGGGTATTCTTGCTTACCCTATGCAAAGGCAAATAAAAAATTCTTTCTAGCCCATCCTGAAAAGGGTGAAAAGAATAATTTCTAGTTCCTGCATATACACATGCTATAGGTAATCCCCCCTGCAGGACCTTCAGTTTTAGATATTTAGAGTTGTAGGTAAATTCCAATATTGAACAAAAATGTGCTCCTGGTTTTTTAAAATGGATGTTTTTTAATGCCAGTTTCTTCCAGCTACAGTGCAGGAGGCGTGCCAGCTTTGCAATCCTACATCTCAGAAAAGTCCATGATTTATGGGTTGTTTTTTTAATTTAAAGGAGATTTTATTTATCTAAACTCAGAGACTTTTTGATTGACATTTGACAGGGTTCATAGAAATGTTACTGCATCTTGTCCTTTCCTACCTGCTTTGCCCTGCAATGGTCCTTTTCTGTGTTAGCGGATTGTAAAATCTGCTTTTAAAGGACACAGCACATAAATAACATAAACCATTGAATATGTTTTTTTTTGTCTTAAAGGAACATCATTTTGTTAGTGTGCCAGTGCTGACCGAGCACTGAACTTGGCTTCCGAGCCTAATTTATTAGTTTGGTATGATTACCTAAGGCAAAACTAGATCTAATTTCAAGACTGACTAATTAGATAAACTCTGGAAAAGCTGTGCACAGTAATTCGATGCATAGGTGCCATCTAATGGCTGTGTTTAGAATTACAGCATAGTTTTCAGAACTGCACTTTAACATAAATAATGTTGCTCATCAACTACAATGTATTTCCCTCCCTCCCTCTTCTCCTGTCTTTCAGGTTGTCTGGCGAAAGCTGGGTGATGCAGCCAGCTCCAAACCATCCATCCGGCAGCACCTTTCTGGAAACCAATTCAAGGGTCCATTGTAGGAACATTGAATTGAATACTGGGAACCACACTGTAAAGAACGAGAGAGTTAATTGTTTCTAGCTGCCAGTTTTTGGGGGTGTTTTTTTTGGTAACTGTTTATATTGTAAATATGGCAGCTAATGGCCTAGTCTGCAGGCTTGGGTGCTCTGGAACCTACGTTAAATGGGTCAACCAGACTTGTGTCATTTGTATTGTAGTGCGAATCTGCTTCGTTGTACGGTCTGTATGTAGAATTACGTAACACGAGAGAATTTGTAGGAGGAAAAAATGAAACCTTAACCTGTGGCGATGTTACGATTTGTATCGCTTGTGTCCACCTGTTGTTAATTGATACCTAGGCTGGCAGCTTTCAGCGTGGTTTTGGAACCTCCCGAGGAAACAGCAGTCTGAATCCGCTGGCTTGTTGGCTAGCCGGTTCTTGAGCTACTAACGCTGCTTCACGATCCTTACTTTTGGCGGGGGGGGGACATGCAACTGTTCTCAGGAGATGCTGTATGAAATACTTTTGTGGAGCAAGAAAACAGTGAGAAAGCACCTCGTATGTTGAACTCTGTTGACCACGACAAGTAAGTAGTGGACATGCAGAATAACCCGAGGAGGCTCCATTTCAGCTGCCTAGTGAACTGCTCTTTGTGGAATATATGACACTTAAGATTTCTGCAGTCATAATGTGAATAACTTTCAGTCCTTTAGCCACACACACCAGTATTCAGTATAAAAACAGTAACACTGTTCCTGTAAAGCTTTTGCTGTAAAACACTTTAACGGAGAAGAGTTTCCTCAGCAACGTTTATGGCGCACAGTATCTGTGAAGGAAGTTCATCCCTTGGAGCCCGGTGTTTCAATAAGTAGCTTGCTGAAAAGAGTGTTTTAACGGGCTTGTTGAAGTCCCCAACTAAATTGGTTACTTTTCAATGTAACCAAAGCAACAATCTTTCAAAGCTGAATAAAAACTACGTAAACACAGGCTGTCAGATAAGACTGCTGCTGCCATTTAAGCTTTATTTTTGTTAATGAACCAAAATGCGTGGGTTTTTCTCTTTCGAGCTGCTGTATATAACACAATATATTTCATCCTTTTTTATTGTGGAGTAGCTGCTTGCATAGCCATAGTAAGTCTTCCCCGCCCTCCCCCACCTTCCCTTTCTCTTTCATTTTGTCACCCCATCTGGTCCTGTATTTCTTTGACTGTTCCTTCCCTTTCCCCCCAGATTGTTCACAGGAAACTGGGCTTGGTTATTAACCCACCACTGTAATATAAGTTTAAAGGGAGGTGCATGTAAGCTTAATGCCACCTCTTCAAAAATTTCATTGGTTTTGGTGATTGGTTTGAAGCTTTCATAACTTCCAGTTTTGTCACTTTCCCTCTAGAAGAATCGGTCACAATTGCCTAAAACGCAGTTGAATTAGCTGGAAAGGTTATTGCTGGTAGAGGCATCTGTTTGTATTAGCTGTGAGTTCTGGACTAGGGTTTGCCTCTTACTATGAAGCACCTATGCAAAAGCAGGGAGGGAGCCAGTTCTGCAGATTGTCAAATAGGTGTCTATCCCATTGTCTCTAATGAGACCACTCACTTGAGTAAGGACTTTGCAGGATTGGGTTCTCGACTGGTAAACAAGAAGGAAGATGGACAAAATAAACATTAACTGGTTAATGTAAAAAACCCTTGTTTACTCAGGACAGAAGTCTAACTGGGGACAAGAAATGAAGAACGAGAGAGAAGTGATTGACAAGACAAAACAAAACAAAACAAAACAAAACAAAACAACCAGCTGATTCTCGATTCAAGGTAGTTCACTTCTTGCTAAAGCCTGTCAGGTGCTATTGTGTTGACCAGTGTAACTCTATAGTAGCTTTAGGCATTCAGTGTAGCCTAGAAAAAAATATCTTCAAAGACGGCATTCTGCTTACTTTTAAATATTTGACATCTTTAAAGGATTCCAGATTTCCTCCTCTTTGACTTATTTTGCCCCATTTTCATCACGTGCCTGTCTATACTATCCATTTGTGACTTTTCTTCATTGTCCTGAATTTTTCTAATATGAAGGGGTGATGCAGAAACATGGCTTGCTCCTTACAGAATGAGAGAGCAAGGAAAGGTTTAATTTTTCCTGTGCGCCATCAAATGTATATAGGACTGCTTTAGTCCATCTAGTTGAATAACCACTTTAATTATAGCAGTATCCAGCCCAGAAGATTAGGCAGTTTTCAAGGCTTTTGGGGCAGGATTGACTGACTTTAGTGAACTGCAGCTAAAGCAGGGCAGACGTTGGCAATAGACTTTGTAGATTTAATTGTACTGATGAAGTGTTTGCTGTTTTAGGAGTATATTAGATTAGCACATAGGCATTTAGTGATTCCCTCTCAACAAAACTATGAGCTACACTAGCCAGTTTACTAGTTTCACTAGCTATGAAATATTCACCCACATTTTCCTTTAATCAGATTTTTCTCTTTCAAAATCCTTTTGGTAGCTTCAAGATTTTCTGGTTCTACTTGCAGATTTCAAACTCAAAATACAGGGGAAGCAGCACTATATTTGAGGCCTGTTTGTGCTGTAAATCTTTGGAGAGCTGCCTTCCAAGGCAGTCAATGTTTTACTCAAACCACTGAATGCTCCTTTATACTATTATGGTAAGAGTATATTTTGTAGAGCCTCCACTCCTCCAAAAAAAATTTCCTGCCCAGGCATATGCATCAAAGGTCTGGGAGGCCCTCATGCATACACCATGATCCAGGAGGATCAGAAGTTGCCACCATGTTTTGTAGAATTCTGTTTGATGGCATATGCCCCAAATATACAACGTGCGTTGTGGATTTTACAAACATCCATGAAATCTAGTGCTGTATGTTTTCTTTCCTTTTTTAAAGCTTGCTACTCATCATATTAGCTCTGTTTGAGCTAAAAGCGTCTTCCGGGGGGGAGGGGGAAATAACACTCAATGACTTTACAGGATGACTTGGGTGCTAAATTTTCAGTTGTCTAAAAGTGTTTTATATACGCATTCAATTCACTTAACTATGCTCCAAGTCTGCAGTGAAACTACCTGAGAAGCTTTGTATAATAAGTTGGAGGGAAAGCTCCCTTGAAAGTGGCCATTAAATTGATACACTTGGGGCTACTAGCCCAGTCTCCTTACTCAGTCTTGAGGTCCAAAATCCTGAAGCTCTGCGACAAGCAAAGTTTCCAGAGACTTCAAATGGAGTTTTGCCTGCCTTAGGAAGGTGGAATCAGGACTGTTAAGTTCTTTGAGAGACTGAAGCAAATAGCATTTCCATGCCAATTTTTGCAATGCTGTGGTGCAACCCATGTCAGGTGGCTCTTTGCACCTTTAGTAAGACTGCTGAGCACAACCTTGTTTAAGAATGGCACATTTGTATCCAAATATTATTAGATATAAATCAGTGTTAAAGTGACCTTTTATCTTTTTAGATACAGGGGGGGAAAAAGTACTACTGATCTTTTTCAAACAAAGTGCATGACTGTAAAGTGATAAAATTGTATATTTTTCATAATGTGGGGAAAGTCTATTTGTGCTGCTTTTGAAATCAGTTTGAAGTTATGATTTCTGTTAAACCTGTGATCTTTACAGCCCTGATATATTTTCTGTATATGATTTACAAAAAGAGAGAACTGGAGAAAATTAGCACCTGCTGTTGTGTACATAGCAAAAATCTTTAGACTTTAGCACGCATTTATACCTTTTATTGAACCACTTTGGCTTTTTTGGGGGAGGAAAAAAAAACAGTACAGATTTTTTTGATAATGTGTGTAAAACATTCATTTGAAATATTTTAGTAAAAATGAAGTAAGAGATTGTGATAGTGTATACTTTCAGTTGAATAAAATAAAGTACATTCTTTGTAAAATATGAGTCTAAATATTGGTAGAACACTGCTGTTTTTTCTTGAAGTGGGTTGTGAATATCAGCTGTAGCACACCAACACGTACTACTACGACAGAACGTTCTGCCACAATGTAAGTAGGAATATCACTCTTAAGGAAATGGTTTGTCTGGAGATGATTTGAGAAAGGAACAAAGACTTTCCACTAAATTCAGAACCAATTTTATTTGGGTAAATTAAGTAGTCCCACTCATAACCAAGGTGTAAATCACAGTATGTTACATTCATACCTTCCACACTTAGAAAATATATATATTTATGTACAGGAATTTGTTAATAGGTGTAAACATACATTGCTTTTCAAGATACCAGTACATTCCAAAACAAAAAATATCAGCAAGGCAAAGACCTCAAAATGATTTTAGTCAGCTAGTGGTTGGAAACATGTATTTAAAATAAAGTAACTCTCCAGTGACACTTAATATTTAATTAGGAGAACTGCTCAGTGAAAATGAAGTTTCTCACTCTAGGTGGAAAATTAAGGTATCTGACTATTTTTATACTCAAAAAGTAGGCACTGATTTCTAGAAGGAAATTTACTTCTTATTGATATAACTGAGCCAATATGGCTGGTTAACATTGTTCCTAGTATGAAGTAATCCAATGCTGGAATAACTCAGAAAACTCAAGTTTAAACTAAATGTATAAAGTTGGATTTTAATTTGCTTTACAATACCTATACTAAAAGCCTATAATCTCACCATTAACAATACTGAAAATAGATAAACTAAGATTCCATGTTCCATAATGTTCTCGTATTGTTTCAGAAGCTAGATTATACAAATTGCCCTCCTATTTATTTTCACGATATGGTTGCTTCTTAACTATTCAGCCTGTTAATTATTCTTCCAAGTTAAAGGATTTGTACACAAGTATCTCATGCTATCTCATCCACGTAGCACGTCCAAGTCCTGCTACAGGAGGCATACCAGGTGGTGGTATTGGAGGTGGCACTGGTGGTTGTCCACCAGGAGGAACCGCAGGAGGGGGATAACTAGCTGGTGGCATTCCTAGCCCTGGAGGTGGTGGATGAGGTGGAACTGCATGAGTTGGAGGCAGTCGTGGAGGAGGGAAGTTAGGATTGTATGTAGGTGGAGGAGGGTACCCAGGAGTAGGAGGTGGGAGATTGGGTGGTGGGAATGATGTTGGTGGGGGTGGAACAGGTGGTGGAGGGTTAGGAGGATACACATGAGGATGGTACGGTAAATGAGTTGGTGGTCCATAGGCTGGTGGCAAAGCTCCATAAGTTGGTCCTTCTGCTTTCATCATTGACTGAAGACTTTGATAACCCTCCCCTGACATATATGAATTTGTAGTCGACATCCCTGTTATGTAGCTGGTGGGTGGTGGTGGTGGTGGGCGATGAGGCAGAGGTGGTGGCTGATGTACTGGTGCAGGATGAGCTGGAGGAGGAATCTGGACCTTTGGCATGTCTACAGAGTCCACTGTAGTAGTTTGCTCTGCTTCTCCCATTGAAACCGCAGTTGTTAGAGGTGGCTTGCGCTCTGGAACAGACAAAAAGCATAACTGATTCTTCTGCAGCACAGCAATTAAAGGATTCTGCCTACGCTGCTGTATTTTCAGGGAGTTCTGTGTCAAACGTGGACCTCATTCTGTCTAGCTACATGTTGATTACTTAGGATTGGAATATTTGCATCAACTCTATTGGACCTTGGTAACACTTAAAAAATTAAGGTTGAAAAAAGGGCAGGTGCTACTGTACTGGTCCCTCCCATGACAAGTGAGCTGATTTTAAGCTTGGTCATTTCTTTAAAGAAAAATGAAATTTACTGCTGAGTTTAATCCTACCTATGCTGGAAAATGCTGGCTTCTTAAAATCAGATGCAACACTTAACAACTTTTACTGCATCTTGTTAACAAATCTGGTTTCATCATGCAGCTTCAGAGATTTAAGAACATGCATTTAATGTAAACCTGCCAACCCAGCAGAAGCTGATGGGCCTTATTCAACTGGGTTCTTGATTACCGACTCTAGTTCCCATTTAAGGGAAAAGAATGACCAGCCTGCTGGCATGCTAGAGCACTGCTGTTTTCTCCCTTGCACACAACTCAAAAAGCTTGCTGCATAGAAAAACTGACCAAACAGCAGAGGCAGGAGAGGAAAACTGAGTAGAACTGAGGGGGTAAACTTTTGACAGGCATGCCACAAGTTAGCTCCACATCCTCCCAGAGTGCTACTCCAATCCTCTTCCTCTGCTTAACTGCTGCTCTCTTCTTCCTCCGTTTCCAGGCCCGTGCTCCCTGCCCTATCATTGTTTCCTTGCTCCCTCCAAGATCTGCAGTATGTCACTTGTTGCATGCGTCCTGCAGCCTGGCCACCCCTAGACTGGAATATTAGCTTTTAAGGCAATTCTTACATGTGCAAGGTGCCAAACAGCACAACTAGTGAAAAAATAAAAAGCCAGAATGAATTTAGGAAAATGCTCAAACCAAATGAGTTTTTAGCTTTCATTTTCTACACACCCATTAGATTAAAAGAAATATTTGGTAGGAGGAGAGGTTAATCCCCAAATAAGATCAGACTGGTGAAGTTTCAGGCTGATTGGGATAAGTGTTAGGGAAAAGGAAAAATCTGGTCTGGCTTGAATACTTAGTAGACTAGTGTTTCTCCTTAATGGGACCCATTCCCTTCAGAATAAAGCAGCGAGCCCAGGTGACCCTTGCCATTAGTAGGGGTATGTTCTTGAGATCCCCGTGAATGGCGAAATCGGCGAATGCGGCACTGTGTTCATGAACGCAGTGCCCCCAGCAGCTGGGGGGGCACAAATGTGTTGGCGATTGCAGGAGCCTGGCGGCGGTAAGTGCAGAGCTGCCAAGGAGCTCCTGTAAGTATTTAAGATGCATTTGCAAACATTTAAAACTACAAACGCTCAACCTGCAAATAGCGAGGGTTTCCTGTATTAAAAAGCTTGACTTCCAGAAATAAACTTGTATATGGCAGGTATATGCATTACTTTTGTATTACAAGAGTGCAAAGAGCATTAGAATGAAGTACAAAACATTTTTTCACTCAAAAAGCCATGTAGCAGCAGTATTACAGAGCTGCCATTCCACTGCTGATGGACAGAAGAACTAAAACAGCAATAAAAGAAGGGAGAGAGAACCCAGGCTACTTGTGCTATTCTTCAACTGCTGAATAAGCAACAATTTGAACTAAGGCAGCAATTCTTTCACCCGAAGGTAAATCAGATTGGCTCTAAGCCTAAATCCTAAAAAAAAAAAAATTTGTCAGAAATTAGAAACTAAATCAGGATAGACTGTTAAAAACAGTTCTCACTTTTCACTCGATGATAAGACAGCATATGTGAAACAAGATCCTGTATGACACTCCCATTCCCCATTGTGGCACACAGGGGCAAACTAAATGAAAGTGAGAGGCAGGATTGGAGAAAAAAAAAAAAGCTAAACATTACAGCAGTGAGTATCATCTAAACCCTGTAATTATTGCCTGGTACAGTCGGCAGCAGCCTCACTTAACTTCTGGATGTAATACTATGTAAAAGAACGCAATCATTACAATGGCCTGATATTTTCTATTTCCAATCTTGTTCCACACATTTTCAGCTTGTAGTGTTTTTTGACAGATATCAGATGATGCCTAGCTACAAGGACATCTGGGGCCTTTGCCAACTAGAGGGACTGAGAGGTTCACACTTGCTCAGGACAGATCTGCCACAATGATGAAACGGTGACTGCTGGGATTTGGATAATGTTTCAGGGTTCCCAATTCTGAGACGTCTGGGACAGCTCCTAGAACTGCTGCAGATAGTCTGCTGAGTCAGGGAAGTGTCACGGTACACTGTTTCCTAGGTTGTCTTTGCAAGCAAAATTGTTTTATGTAATCAGAGAGGACCAAGACAAATTCCTAACCAATTTAGCTCCAGTGGAGTTGGGATTGTTTATCAGGCCTAAAAAACAGGCACGACCCCCAAGCAGAGCAGAAAGAATGCCCACAACTTAATATAAAGACTATAGTTCATTCAAGAGAAAGACCAATTTACAGACCCTTCTGCTCAACTGCCAGGTATGTACAGCCAGGATTTACACAGAATTATGCAGACCAACTGTGATTTACTAATGCATTTAGCGTACTTATGAAGACCTGGAGCTTTACGCATGAGACAGGTGGGAAAGGAGCAGGTACTGTTCCTTTTTTATAGTTCTAACACAACAGGTGGGAAAGGAGCAGGTACTGTTCCTTTCCTATAGTTCTAACACCCCCTGCCACTGTGCTTTTCTGCCTCTTGTTGGTACTATTAGGAGCTGTCATTTTAAGGTTTCAAAATGTGGCATGCACTATAAAATATTCATGTCATATCTTAGTGGAAGGACAGCTAATGTGTCAAGGCACTGGAAACACATTTTACAATACTACAATTCCTTTCAAAACCATATGGTGTGTGCACATCACAAGCTCCTCTGGCAGAAGTCATTCTCTTTTGGGAGATCAGCCAAGGAAAAAGTTGTTCCCTGCTGCCTACCACTGTAGAGGAACCAGAACCTGTGTCCAGGTACATATACTAGAGACCTGGCGTGGGACGTGGAGGCGAAGGGATGCTTACTGTTCACACAGCACCTGTTGGCTTTTAAAAGCCTCCATGTCTCTCTTTACCTGCTATTCAATGTCTGGGGAAAGCCAAAGGGCCCTTGTTTCCAGAAAAAAGCATCAAGATGTAACAAATGATCTGCTATACTTTCACAATCTATAACTTGCCTTTCCATGGCACTGCTCTCTGCAGGCTTCTCTGACCTTTACACTGGAGTGGACCTTAACCAAACAACATAAAAAAGGTTCACAGATTTGACTAGGCTCTTAACTGGTGCATTCATCACTATCAAAACCCATAAAAAGGCATTCAGAGAAATTTCTATTTACAGGATAAGCCACTGAAGATGCCCTAGATAAGGCAGGCAGGCATTTAAATAAAACAAATGACACCAAC